TTTTTTTTTTTTTTTTTTTTTTCTTAAGATAACCAGTGAATTGTCGAGTGAATATTGCGAGTCGTTTCGTGTGTAACCGGAAGTGAGGGAAATTTTCCACGGAGATGGGATTTAAATGTCGCGAGAGAAATAAAAGTTAAAGATCAAAGAAAAAACGTGCTCGTGTAAAAAGGTTCTACGAAAGATATAAAGTATTATTGTAGATTCATGATCGTGATATTTTTGTTCAAGGAAGTTAAACTCCTCGCAATAAAAATATATTATACTCATTTTATGTTCAATACGTTCTTTAAAAAAAGAATCGAGAAACGTTTAAAATTCGTATTTATATCCTGCGAATATTGCAGAATTAAAATCCTCCATTATTTTTAAATCGAACTTCCTGACATTAATAAATTTTATTTTACGCGTTTTCGAATAATTTTTTGCATGAATATGAATAATCGATAATATTGGATAAACATTTATTATTAATAACATATATTGGATAATAATATTCATCCGGAAATGCAGGAAAGTTAAGATGAACTAAGAATGCAAAATTGTGAAAGAGAACTTGATATGAATATTTATAAATAATTATAATCTATTAATAATCTTTTTCCTTATTATAATTATAATAACAATAAAATTATGAAAAAATTGTTTGATATTTGTCGAATGTTATAAATAATTCTATTAGAGATAAAAATTGGTGAGTAAAATTGAGACAAAAGTGAAATAAATTTTGAAATGAAATTGATCATCGTTATCGAATAAAATTTTCAAATTTTCAAATTTTTAAATAGTATAAAACTCGATTACAAAATTTAGAAAATTTAATAATCTTTTGAATCGAATTTTATAGAATAGCATATATATATATATATATGCTATATATATATATATATATATATATATATAGAGAGAGAGAGAGAGAGAGAGATTCACATTTATTTTTTAAATCTATATATTTTTGGATATGTAACACGTTTTCTAAATGTAAATAGTAACGCCTCGTGGCAAGTGTTACGTAAGTATTCGGTAAAACAGAGGTATAATCACCCCCAGAAGGGGAAGCGTGATTTCAAAAATAGTTAATGC